GAATACAGGGTCTTCCCATCTGGTGAGCACAAGATGCAAAAAACACAGGACATGAGGCTAGAGAAGCAGGCGGGGCAATACTGCCAGCAGGGCCTTGAATGCCACACCAGTTTATACAGGTTGAGTGTGCCTTATCCAAAACGCTTGGGTGCAGAAGCATTTTGGATTTCAAACTGTTTGCATGTACATAATGAGATATCTTGGGGATGGGACCCAAGTCTAAATCTGTAATTCATTTATGTTTCACACGTACTTTACACGCATAGCCTGAAGGTAGTTTTATTTTTCCCTTTGGGATGCTGAATAAGCATGTGTGTTGTGCATCTGCGTTTTGACTGCGACCTGTCATTCGAGGTCAGGCATGGAATTTTCTACTTGTGGCGGCACATTGGTGCCCAAAAAAGTTTTTGATTTTGGTACACTTTGGATTTCAAATTTTCAGATTAGGGAAGCTCAATGTGTATTCAACTCTTGAAGATCTCTGAGCAACACATGGACCTGAAAAGAATAAACTGAAAGTGATCTGATTGAGGCAGGAAGAAGGGAGACAAAACACATCTAGGATCTTACAGATAAAAGTGGATATGAAAAAGGAAAGAACTTCAACAAAAAATAAGATTGGGTAAAAAGAAATGAGTTAAATGAGAAAGACTCTAAGACTAAAGTGTGGGTCCAGTTATCAGAAAGAATGGGGATGACGCTTTAACAATAATAGGGAAGTAGTGTGGGCATGTGAGAGGGAGAGAAAATGACCAGGCTCGTCAGGAAACCCTATTAAGAACCAGGAAAAAGTATGGAATGGTGGCAATGTGAGTCGTCTTGCCCTGTTCCGCTCTGAGGCCACAGGGCCTTTGCACATGCTAGTCTGTCCACCTAGAGGTTCTTCTGCTGCCCCTACTGGGTTAGTGCAGCTCTGAAAACACTTGCCCAGGGAGTCTCTGCTTAACTCTCCCCAACAGATCAGGCTCACCATCCCTTGTCACATGTCTTCATAGAACAACGTTCCACTGTCATAGCTCTCATCTTTAATTCTGTATTTGTTTTTGTGATTATTTGATTCATGCTGTCCTCCTCCCTGATGGATTTCAGGACATGCCACACCAAAATATGTCACTTTGGCTTATTGATTATTTTGGGGTGAAGGCACTTGAGAAATGGGAGAAAGTAGAAAGGACCTTCTCCTTTCTATATAGCAACAGGCCATAAAATTTCCCATGAGAAAGGTGCCCTCCCTGTACCAGAAAGAGAAAAACATCCTATCACCATCTGGGAATCAACACTGAAATGGACCTATACAAACAAACTTACCAAAATAACCCGTGTCTTCCACTAGTCTTCCCCACTGTATCTCTCAGTCACTCCCCCACAATTTACTACCTCTAGCCCAAACTCTTGTCATTTCTTCACAAATTTCTCATTTCCTTGTATGAAAAGTACACAAGCTGTTTTGCTTCGGTCACTTCTTTTGGTCTTCACTTTCTTGTGAGGACTTCCATGTACGTGTAACATTTTAGTAAAGCTTGCATGCTTTTTTTCTCCTGTTAATCTGTCTTATGTCAGTTTGATTCTTAGCTACAGACTCTAAGAGGGTAATTTTCCCTCCCCTATACACCATTCTAGGTTATGAGCTTCCAATAGGGTCCCCTGTGCTTGTGCAGGGGGTCTCCCTGAAAATCTGGGGAAGCGTGGACGGGAGGGAGGTGACAGTGTCTGCATTTTAGTGAGCAGGTGTCGCGGGAGCCCGAAATCGTATCTCACAACCACAAGATAAGGCTGAAGCAACAGACACACCGAGCCAGAGGAGAAGCCTTAGAGCAGAGCAGAGGGCTCCGGAATGAAGAGCTGTCGTGAGGATGACGGATTAGCTGTGCGCTATATGGTTTCAGGGGCTAGGAAAGAACCAGGATTGATGGGTCAAGGTTCCGGGGAAACAGATTTCAGCTCAAGGGCTGGAGGAGTTCTCACACAGCCACAGAAAATGCACTGCTCTGCAGAGCAGCGGGTCCCTGGCCCTGGATACCTACAGGCAGAGGCACAGAGTCATGTGGCTATCCTAGCAGACTTGAACCACAGATGAGTATTTATACCAAAGGACTTTAAGGTCCCTCCAGCCCCAGCTGAACTCTTCTGGCTGTTAACGCTCTTGGGAGGTACTCCCCTGTCTGTACACGCATTCTCAAGCTCCCCCTGTGCACAACACGTGCTGCCCTGCCCCCAAGGATGCATTCCTTCCTGCACATGCTTCCACTTTCAGCGCACGTGCTTCACCCCAAGGAAGTCTTTCTCACCCTATTTTTGGTCACTTCTTTACATGCATCCCTGTCGTCCACTGCTCTGCCTCCACTGCACTTTATCACTAGTTTAACTGCAGTATTCACTGTTCTTTTAATGGCTGGGGAGCACCCTCCTTCCTGGAGCTTGCTCAGCGTCTTGCAAAGCCTGACGCACAGAGTTCATGCTCCCAGTCCATGAATAGCCATTGCGTGTTCTACTACCTCACCCACATTCCTTCGACAGGTATTTCTCAGAGAATTATTTGCATAACATTTACTGCCTTGTTCACCCTACCCTGGACATTCTGGTTTGTCCCCATTTCTCTTGAAGGGCCCCAGACCAGCCCCACTCAACCCGTGGTGTGCAAACATTCGCTACTGTTTGCAATGGAATGAGTATAGTCACCAAAGGTAATAAACATTTAGAAACTTTAATAGGGCAACTTGGCAGTTTATGGCTGTTGATTCTTGTGACAAAAAATTGAGACTTGAGTTTTTCTCTCTTTCTACCCCATTCATTTCTATTATTTGCTACAAAAGTATCAATCTTTGGCATACTGGGAATAAACTGGTCTGTTACTATAAACGGTTTAAGAAGCACTGCCCCAGGTAATATTACTTTGCTAAATGAGAAGAATAGCAAGTCTTCTTGTACTAATTAATGGATTAATATGGGCAATAAGACTGTATAACTCAAATCCTGGCAACAATGTATTTATTTTTCCCTCTGATATTAGTTAATTCTATCTTCCTCACATAATATGGCTCACCTCAACCATGAAAGAGAATCCTAAAAATTATATTTTAACTGTTTTAGAGAGAGCACTGATCACTCAGATCCAAAAGCCAATAGCCCTTTTGACCAAGGTGAGAAAAATGCCTTTATCCATGACTCTCACAACCTTACTGCTGTGTCCACAGTCCTTCACCCTAGGCATGTTGTAACTATAGCTTGCACGGCTTTGAACACAAAGAAGTGCAAGGTGGCTCACAAGCCAAGGGCACGAATATTTGGCTGTAATAAGTACGATACCACTACTGTCTTTTGTCTAATCACGCTAAGCACACATGCAAACATGTGTGTGTGTGTGTGTGTGTAAGAAACAGGGCGCAAGTTAACGTGCCCTGCACATGGGCTTTCCACGCCAGTACTATAGCTCACAGCTCTGCCCACCCGCTCCAAACCGACTCCCACTTCACGCTCAATGTGAGGTCTTCACGGCTGAACACACCCCTATACCTCTGACTCTTGAAGCGAGCTTTCCCGAAGGATCAGCTGAACTCAGCCTGATCTGCCTATTATTCCTCGAAGAGTCATCAGTTACTATTATCATGGCTGCTCAGCACGATGTTACTCGTTTGCCCTTTACCTGCTCACCAATCAGTAGACACACGACAGCTACACTGCTGGTAACCACAGATGAGAAGTGCCCACAGGTACCCTGAGCATGTCCCAGGCTGGAGGCCAGGGGGCGTCCCCAGAAAACACACAAGGTGGGAGCCCATCAGGCCCAGTTCTTCTCTGGGCCTGGATGTCACCTTAAATTCTGAACACCGCTACTAATTCCTACTGTAGAGAGAAGCCTCATTTCATCATGAATCAAATTACCGTAAAATAGATGTTATAAAGCATGAAAAGTGGAGCGATGGGAATTTGCTTTCCTAAAAAGCAGGTGATGGAGTAAGGAATTCAATTTTTCCTCATGCTGGTGGTTTACCTGAAACAAGGCTCTTGTCAAAACCACACAAGAGTGCCCAGGCAGCTGAATGGACCACTCAAAATAATGCACCAATGTGCCAGGCAAGTGACGCACAGGTGAAAGCTGAACGCAACCACAAGAGTACGGGCTGTGACAAAGATAAGCTAAAGGCCTGAGCCATGGACCGCCAGCTCCTCTATGCAGAAAAATCAACACCATGAAAGACCTTCTGCCCTGTTCTAGCTCAGGAAGAGGCAGAGTACTTGCTGGGAAGTAAGACAAACCCTCATATTCCAATTTTGCTCTGTATAAAACTTGAGAATTTTAAGAATTCTTTAAAATCGTGCTTCTCATTCCTAACAGTATGGAAAGCAAGTGATTTTTTTAAGTGACCCAGGAAAAAAGTAACAAGTTTTTTTTTTCCCCCCAAATTCCAAATGTGCATTTTAACTTTCCTTGCTTCCCAACGAAGCCACTTTACTTTTTACAGCGCTAGATCTCTCGGGGTAAGGCACTCATCAAAACTTTCCCTGGAGGTCGACCTGGGATGCTGGCATTCAAATAACTCTCATTTCCACCACAATAAGGAGAAGGTGGCACTGAGCTGGGTGGAGAGGTGACACATTTCCAATTTCTGAGATTTCCAGAGCCCGTGACAGCTTACCGCCCACGGCAGGGCACTGCTGAAAACCTCCGCCGCTGCCCTCTCCCCACATGGCAATGCGCGGCAGCCTCCCGCAGGGTCAAGTGTGCAGGGCCAACCACCCCGGCTCTTCCCTCCCGCCTGGCCCTCACTGCCAACAGCTTCTCTCCAGAAATAACCAAATGTATGAGATCGCCCACAGGGAGAAGACGGAGGCATGACACCTACGAGTTTGCCTATTTATAGAAAGTGTTAACACTCCTCAGGAAAAGACACCAGAAATCTCCTTGGAAACGCCCAAACCCGTACTCCCTTTGGTATTCTAGCCTGCTAATACCGACGACTGAGTCACCGCCGTTACAGCAGGGCCCGAGAGGTACTTACGGCTTCCCCCCAGGGATCCCTGCCAGGTTTGGAGGGATGGCAGGCACTCTCATGTGAGGCGGAGGGTCAAACCCTACCTGGAAACAAAAGCAAATCATTGTAGGCTCAGTCTATGCAAGGCAGGCACTTTGAGAACACTGATAAAGTCTTTTCATTAGAAACGCATACATCCCCAAAGCAATATATAAAATGAGAACAATAACAGGGCCTCATAGTAAGGAAAAAAAAAAAGGCCAGGCATGGTGGCTCATGTCTGTGATCCTAGCACTTTGGAATGCCGAGGCAGGAGGATCACTTGAAGCCAGAAGTTTGAGACCAGCTGGACAACATAGCGAGACCCCATGGCTACAAAAATTTAAAAATTCGCCAGGCGTGGTGGCATGCACCTGTAGTCCCAGTTGCTCAGGAGGCTGAGGCACGAGGATCGCTTGAGCCCAGGAGTTCTAAGCTACAGTGAGCTATGATGGTGCCACTACACTCTAGCCTGGGTGACAGAGTGAGACCCTGTCTCCAAAAATTATAACAATAATTCCAGAAATAATATAACCACCTCTAACACCACAAGACAACTTCTTTTTAGGGAGGTGGAGAGGAGGTATGATTATTTGTGCACTGAGAATCAGCTTCCCATGGAAAATACATCCCACAGACTTAAAACGGTCTCTCGTGCCCAAGCAAATACAGAAAGCATTCTGTTGTGTAAGGATTTCTCAACCTCGGTGCTATTGACATTTTGGACCCGATACTTCTTTTCTTTGTTGGGGCCTGTCCTAGGTACTGTAGGATGTGGAGTAGCATCTCTGGCCTCTACCATTTATGTGTCAATAGGATTTCTCTCCCCAGTTGTGATAATTGAAAGTATTCCCAGGTATTACCAAATGTCGCTAAGGGATTACTCCCGGGTGCACACGACTGGTCTGAGTTAATGCTTAAGGAGTCATACACGGCCTCCCTGTGTTGCACACATCAAGGAGAGCGGCCAGTCACTCAGCTGCCCACCTCACTCACTCTCTTGCCCTCTACTGCACAGCCTTTGCTGTGAGTGCAACGTAAGGAAAACTCAGCGAACCTTAATATCGCCCCAAACTACTGGAGGTAATGCCATGTGAAGAGGAGACAAGAGAGAAAGGTACTTGATATATTTCAGAAAACAAAAATGACTCTGGGACTTTAATTCGCCATGGGTGATCACCTACAGTTTTCCTGATGCAATCAATGATCACACAGTCAGTTTTACCCTTCGCATGTGGTTTGTATCTATCTTCTTGGTCATTTGCACAGTGGCAGAAGGCAGGGTGAGATGGTAGGAGGGCCCGCCCCTGTGGTTTCAGTGTGTCTTCCATTCTGCCCACTGTGCAGAGATGGCTTCTTACACAAAAGCCACGCTTTTGGACTTAACGTATAACATAGGCATGGAAAGAGAAAGCTGGGGCTTCTCAAATGCTTTTTCCTAAGGTTTAAAGAGGAGGGGGAAAAAAAAGGCTCAAAAAAAACCCCAAAAAACCCGAATGAAAAGGCCTCTGTGAGCCACTTGAGTCATTTCATCGCCTTCAAATAAAAAAATCTCCTTTGGTGGGAGAAAACCAGATGTCGCCTGAACCACGGAAGGAGCTTCTCAACACTGCCTTCTTCATCCACAAAAACGGTAAAACAAAAGCGCCCGGCCCACACTTAGCGAAGCAGCATGCTGAGGAAGGCTGACAGGAGCAAGGCGGTGTGGGCCGGACACTGGGCATCTTTGTTTCTGAGGCGTGTGGGGCGGGCTGGCTGCCGCTGCCCACGCAGCACCGAGGGGCCTGCCGCCCGCCCTCCCCGGCCCGACGGTGCCCACTGATCACGCCGCTCCCCTGACCCCACCACAGCCCACCCGGCCGCGGCCTACCATCGGGGAGCGCCCGTAGGCCACCACCGCGGCCGCGGCGGCCGCCGCGCTCATCTGGGGAGACATGTTGTGTAAACTGGCGTAGGCGGCGCCGGGGCTGGTCAGCTCGCCGTTCATGCCCGCGTGGGGGACCATCCCGAAGGGAGCAGGGTACGGGCCGGGCACTGCCAGGGGCGTCCTCAAACCAGCTGCTGAAAGGAAACACAAGACGCACGTCACTCAACCGACCCACTCCAGTCACACCTGAGCAGCAATTCTCGTGTCATTTGTGAGTGTCGTTCATTACAGGGAGGAAGAGGCTTATGGAGAAGGGGTAAAAAAAAAAAAAATCACCTCCAATTTATACACCGGATCCATTCATCCCAGAGCCAAATTCATCTCCGGAAAGCAAAGACCCCAGGGGAAGCGCAACCCACACATCTTCTCATTGGTCTATGCAGTGGCACCGGGCAGCCCGGGGAATTAAGAATTACTATCCCCAATTGACGGAGGGCAAACCAAGGAAGACGCTAAGTGTTTTACCTGACTTAATCTCAAAAGAAGATTTTCTTGATAAAATCCAAGATTTCTCCTTCAGTCCGAACTTTCCATTCCCTGGTACCAATTCCAAATGAAAACCCAATCCTGGATTTACGTAAACCAAAGCAAGGGTTTAGGAGGGATATTCTGGTGCCTGTTCTCCTCTGAGCCCAGGTTGCTACTTTTTTCTTTTCCCAGCGAGAAAGATCAGGTTGCAAGTTATGCAATTTATTCATGGGCCGGAGTCTCAGTAAAATCCTCCCAGTTTCTACTGAAGAAGAGACCGCCGACTCCTGCCCGAAGCGTCCCCCAGCAGCACACCAGCCTCGCTGACAGGAGGGGGCCAAACCGGCCGTTTCGGTCAATATTAGCAAAGTCAGACACACAAGCATAGTTTGGGAAGGAGCTTGTGTCTGGAATGATTATCAGAAACTTTAACTGAAGTCCCTAGGATGTGGATTATTTGGAAATTAAAGAAAAGCTGAATGTAAACAGTTGGAGACCGAACAGGGTGCAGCTGCTGAAACCCAAGGACAAACATCTGTTTCTTATCGGGGCCTTTTCGGAGATGGGAAGGGGGATGGCTGTAAGTGCGTTTCATATGCACGGGGAAATTGCGTCATGAGATTAGCAGACAGCAAATCAAGCTGGGAAAGGGAGAAACAAAACACAGCGTGAGGAGAGAGGCGATGCTCTACCCGCTTGGTTAACGAGGGGGTCCACGGCTGGAGGCTTGCCGAGGCCTGGACGCAGTCCTGGAGTGGCGCTGGTGCCCGGCGTTGGCATGTCGCTCCTCGGCGTTGGTGTGCTGGATTTCAGAACAGGCGTGCTGGCTTTTTCATGCTGGTATCATTAAACAAATTAAATGAGTATTATTTTTAATCCAAGCCATATTACACAATTTATCACAACAGCAGCTGGGACACTGGGCACCTTCTTGCTACTCCCTCGGCCAATTTTCATAAATCCACGCAATGTTGGCAGCATTAACTTGTGAGTGAGAAATGTTGACCTTTCCTGTTCCTGCCAGAATGAAAACTCGAGCTAGAGACGCAGAACAGGATCACGCTTTCTTCCTCCGCAGATTTTATTTTAAAAAGTACTTTCCATCAGGCTTGTGGACTCTGGATCTGCGCCAAGCTAGAAGGGTGACCACCCAGAGCACGGTTCCCAGTCACAACAGGTGCCCCGGCTGCCAAGAGTGTCCGAGGGAAGACATCGTTTCTAGTTTTACCTTAGGTAGCCCCGGGAGCAAGACTAACAGGTGAAAAACACACAGCCAGCATCTCAGGGGCAAAAGCCCCAAGCCTGGCCTTGCCGTTTTGTTTTGTATATGCAGAAAAAGAATAACCCTCCGGAGTTAAGTACCTCTGGTCCACTTTCCCACATGACCAACGTGAACCCCCCAGTGCAGATCACACTGAACACCAGCCAGGAGCCTTTCGGACCTGAGATAGTGACAGGGCATCTTCTTTTGCATCACAACATTTCGTGTCCTCTACAACGCAGTCCAAGAGGCACTGTGGTGTGGCAAAGCGCACAGGCCAAAGAAGAGCTCCCAGCCCTTTCTGGCCTTGGATCGTGGGCCAGGGCTGTGTAGCCTTGGCGAGTGACACAGGCTACCTTCCTCATCAGTGAGATGGGATAATGCCTACTGGGACTGTGTAAGGGTTAACCTTGGGACAGTCATGGAATGCTACCGTTAAGCGATGACGCACTGCACAAAGTTGGTTGACTGAATGAATGAGTGACGGTACGAATGGGCTCTGATGAACTCTGTCCCTGCCCCCCGCAAGTCCCAGGCTTCCCCCAGGGCCTCCTCTGTACACCACCATCCTGACGGGCTCCCCAGCATCGGGGCATGCTCCACGAATACCCCGATATCATGGGTCAGTCCACCAGGTAAATGGCCAGCATAAGCAAATGAGGGCTTATTAGAACCTAAGAGGTCTGAACTGTCTGCTAACTGGGAAGTTGCAGAGAGCTGCATACCAAGGACACAGCCCCCCAGTAAGAGAGCAATGAACACAGAAGCCTGTTCGCCCTCTCTCATCATGGCCCAAAAGAGACAACCAAGAAGGAAAAGTAAACCTTGTAGGGGACAAAGAACAGAAGGTTGACTTTCACTTTTAAACTCTTAAAAATACAACCTTCCCAGCAAAACCCCCACATTTCTAATAATATTTCAGGGTCCTCTGGTCCACAAAGAGAAATACACTGCTGCCAAGTAGGTAAATGTGAGTTCTCTTTACTTACCAAGCTCATTTCTTTGGATTTCAAAGAAGTGGAACTTCCTGAGGAGGCCGTGGAAGCTGGACTGCTAGAAGCATCTTTCTTTAGCAGGCGGTTTTTGTCGATTCCGTTTTCCCGGGGCGAATGGGCGGGACTTGCTCGTGGAGAAGAAGGGTCCTCAACAAGCATAATCAAAAGTTTTCATGATTTAGCTTACAATGAACAGACTCTCCCCTTCCATGTGCACCTCTAAACTAAAGGAGAATGCTCCAAGTCCCTCGGGTCAGGGGTATGCAACAGGTTGGGACAACGTTGTTATAATGAACAAGATGTTGCCTGCAAACACACCCATGAACATACCATAAAGAAAACAACTCCACAAACAATCATATCCCTCCTCAGCCTCAAGCTCCTTGCTTGGAGGGCACTGGAAGGAAAGAGGGGCCAGACACCCAACTGAGGGCTCCAAAGGGACTTGGGAAACAAGAGTTTGTTTTAAAAGGAAATAAAAGTTCGTGCCAGTTAAACCATATACCAACAACCATTAAGCTCCTAATGTATAAAGTTGGAAGAGACCAACACACTGTGGCTCTACTTCCTTCATTTACTGTTAGAGTTTTCCCCACTATTCGAATCATTTTGAAGATAGAGTTTGATGAAAATAATGGTTACCTCATTAGAAACATCCACAACTAAGTTGTCATCACTTTTGTCACCATCACTGTCCTAGAAAAAAGAAGTTTCAGTGCCATTTAGCAAAGGCTAAGAAAAAGGGTTTGAGGCCCAGTTAAATTTCTTTCTATAGTTCTTGGTAGCAGACAGCTAAAAAAAGCTTCCTAGGACATGTCTGCGGGCTCCATTCCAGACTGCCAGTCCCCGGGAATTAATACCACCTTCCCCCTCTTCCCATCTGACCCGGGCCACACGAAGCTCTGAGAGGAACTCTGCTGCAATAGTAAAGCAGCTGTCCAACCACAACTTGCATACAGGTGAGGGCAAGTTGCAAATACCTGGCAGACTGTGAGAGTGCAATACAAGTTTGCAGCAGGAGAATCACTCCATAATCTGAAATCTCTTGTTATCTGCAATCTTGTTTTGTAACCTGACATCCATATACCCTTATATCAGAGTTCTTTTTCCATGTGATTTCAAAGGAAGTACACAATTTCATGTCGTTGCATTTATATGTATCACCTTGAAGACAGCCAGCCAATCTGGTGCTCACAGACAATGCGTAATTATAGAGACAAAGTTACTTAAACCATTTTCCCACGGGGTTACTAGTTACTACAAAAAACAAAACAAATAAAAAAAACGAAAAACAACTGAGTTGGCTACTGGATGGAATAAGAGACCAAGATCTAATCTCATGTTAAGAATAAACCTCTTTAGCAATCAGCCTGGAATATTTTTGGAGAAATGGAAGAAAGATGGCAACATCTGGAGGGCACTGGCATCCTGCAATAGGGTTTTTATTCTCTCTTCATAAAGCTATAAAACTTACTAATCAGAGGAAACTTCAAGGTTGCACTGGGTTTGGAAAAGATTCAGAAAAGCTGTTTAATTTAATGATGTGCTCACTACTACATTAAGTTCAAGGCAGGCTGAAAAGTCTACTTTATTAGCCAAAAGGTCTCATGTTCTTCAGTGCACGGTGATACAAATGGGTGTATGGAAAAAGTAGGACATCTCAACAGATCTGAATTCTAGAAAAGGAATAGTTCTCTAATTTATGATCTAAACAATCCTTTTACTGATGTCTTTGTCAGTTAAGAATATACAAATAGTGTCTGAGAAATTTTACTACGTAAAGTGCAAATCTTACCCACACTGGCCTTCTGTGGGGCCACATGTCTAAGCTTGAAAGTTTACCCTCAAGTCCAAGTTTAGATCTTAAGTGGTTTTTTTCTAATCATGCCCAGAACACCACATGTGGGAGATCCAATTTACTTTCTTCAATAGTGTGTTACAAAATATACCTTAGCCACTGTTACAAAGGTACTATGCAATTCACTAGTAACAACACAAAATTACAACCAATGAGGAAGCCTGAGTAATCTAAAATAACAGTCCATTGAAAGAAACATTTGCACATAATAAAGAAAAAAACTAATACTAACAAAAATTTGTTTTCTCTTAGTAAATCACATAGAAAAGCACAAATGTTCTCAGGTGTTAAGTGGTGGTGAAAAATGTAAATTAAAAAGGTTTCCCTTTTAGGAAAAAAAATTATAAGAATGGCTAATGTAGTGTACAGATGGAACTGGCAAAAAGTAGCAAATAATGACTTTATTATAATGCAATTCTGAAGTGAGTTCTTAAATTTTCTGTAATTTAAATTTTAGCTTTCTACCTGACCCTTCTACAAATATGAAACCCTTCACAGCACAGAATACTCCTAACATTAATGAACTAAGGTCTGAGGCCTTTGTCCCAGATTTTCCTACATAATATCAGTACATTGCCCTCAATCGTCAATCAGACATACCTACTACATACAGGGTACAAAACTGTCACGTCAAGCTATGAATTGTAAATCACTCATTACTAAATAACTTCTTATATACATGAGCCTCATGAAGAGCAACTCAGAGTGGTATATCAGCAACTTTCTGCAAGTTATGAACCTTCTGACTTGCTAATTAACATTTAAAGTCACAAAGGAAAGTACACATGTGGGATATTTGCTTTAGGCAAAAGACAAGGGGAGAGTGAAATGTTTTAAAAAGGCTTGGGCTTGGGTGGGGAGGACCAGCAATTCTGTATCTTAGGATGGTATTACAACCATATTGCAAAATGTGAACCCCATTTGAGGATCTACTGCAAAGTATCCAATCCTATAGCTGGGTTTGGGAATCTTGGCATAGTGATTAGGAGCAAGGATTTACCACCAACTGTGACCTTCAGCAAATCACTTAAAAGCACCCTGCTCCTATGTCATCAATCATTGGGTGTTGCAAGAATTAAATGAAATAATCCAAGTAAAAGCACAGGGTTGTTGACCCTAACTCCAGTTGGTGCTCAAGAAATGTTACCTACTGTTAGCTACAGCCTTTAGTAGACAGCGGGAGACACAAAGGGCTAATGTTTGAAATTCTACATAGTCTGCACAGTAGACACCTCTTCCTCCAAGGGCAACAGGGAAATGGCCCAATTCAGCATTCTCCTTTCATACTGTTCCTGAGAACACATCCATCCTGAAACAGAACTCAGGGACACACAAGGCAACTCCAAGGCATGCTACGTCAGCTGCGACGTCTATGACCTCGAGACTAGAGCCAATGGCCATTTGGCTTGATTTGCTTTCCTTTCGAATGTGGCTTTAGCTGGATCTGGGACAAGAGTCCTCACTCCATCAACTAGTTGGGTGATCTCATTTGCAGAATTTGAACAAGATACCTCCGGTGTTTTTTTCCACTTTCACCATGAACTTAGATGACTGAAATGCTCACTGTGGAAGAACTCTGTGAACTCTGCCTTGAGGAACTAATATGAGCCTGAACACAAGCCTGAACGTATCAGAACAGCATCCAAAAAGGTATATTGTGACATCAAAATTGTTACTCTCATTTTAGCTGGAGCAGCTACCAAATTTGTAGGGCCCGGGACAAAATGAAAATGCATGCGCAGCCCTTGTTCAAAAATTGAGAATTCAAAGACGGCGAGATCAGAGCATGACACCCAGAGTGGGGCAAGGCCCTTGCAAGAGCCGGTCCCTCTGCAACCAAACAGCCCGTCTGCATTTTCATATCCCCTCTCGTGAGCAACGAGGGCAGAAAGTCTAAAGTGTGACACTGAGCCCAGCAGAGGCATCATTTACAGTCCTAAAGGGAAATAATATCCTACCATGTAAGAACCTCTCTTCTTTACAGTATTATTTTTAAGGAATGTGGAATTATCACTAAGATCTTGAAGTACACTTGGATACTCACTCAGAAGGTGAGCAGTAAGCAAACAAATATTATTTTAGGTCCTTTAATTACTTACATAATGGCTGGAGTCCTTATCATCCACCTTCCTCTTCTTGATGTCGTTGGAAAACTCAGGCCCATTTCTGCGTTTATCTGTGCCTCTTAGACTGTCTGGGACCAGGAGGGAATTACTCTGCAAGACAAAAAAAAAATTAATCAAAGATTTCTTCCCAAGCCTCTTTGTACACATAAAAACCTAACCTGGATGTGAGAACATTTCAGAAAGGTGATACCTACACAGCCTTTCATTCCATTTAATTCATCTCACCTAAAGGCTTTGATGGCAAACATTCATAGAGGTTTATGCACTTAAAAGGGGGACCCTGACTTTGCAATCGAACCATCCAAAGCCTGGTGGATCCTTCAGGCCTCATTCAGAATGTGCTTCTGTTCTATTTACAGTGAGAGAAATAGGGGCTAGCTGTGGTGTACGTGCATGTGTTTTTATTCTTTCCCCCTGCGACTTCCTGGCTGGGCCTGTGAGCAAATCTTGAGATTACTCTATTAGACAGATTCTTTAACTGTAAGAGTCAATGTATACCACTCTAAAAAGACACAAAGGACGCGGTGGGATTAACAGCATGGTTTTCCAAAAGGCAAATCACATTTTCCACAGCAACAATGAAGGAACTCTTTTGAAATTCTTTTAATTTATTGTTGAAAATAAGGGTTGGTGTTCCTTGCCAATAGCACTGAAATTTAAGACCCGAAGCGGGAATGTCAGCCAGTGAATCTTCAATAGCGAGGCCAGCTCCCACACACAAAAGCAGGAACAAGGACTAATCTTTTCCACAAACCACACAGGATACTTTCATTCGCATATGCTGAGTACAAACTGTTGACCCAAAGAAAACAGGCATTTTAGATATTTTGGGGTCACATGACATGCTCTGACATCCCTTCAATTCCCATCTCCCCTTGGACTACAGCATCAGAACATGTTACAATGAGTTCTTTTAAGTGTGGGATTAGCATATGCAAGGGGGCAATTTGTTCAGTGATGTGTTACAGCCTTGAACAATGCTGAATGAGCTGTGGAAAAACCTCCTTTCACAAAGCCCAGATAACCCCAATTTCTGAAAGATGTTTGAGAACTAAGAGGGGGGTGTCCAGGGCCAACAGACAATTATGTTACCTTTCTCTGCCACAATTGAAAATAGAAGGGGGTAGGAGGAACTTTTACATGAGACCACATCTAATGCAAGGGTATGCACCGGGAGCAAATACTCGATGGTATGTTTTTTAAAGCCATGGGTTTTCTTTCCTAACCAGCCAGAGGTAATCAGCCAGGTGGCTGGCTCTCAAAGCTCCCCCCCCAAAAATCATGCACCCCACCATTGGAGTGTTGTTGCCAGCTCAACCATATGCAAGAGGAAATCAAAACTGGGGACCAGAAGGCAATCTGAAGCCTCTTGGCTGGCCCACTTCAGGGGCTAACTCTAAAGGAGCTGAGCTCTTTTATTCATGACTGTTCAAGCTACACAAATGCCAGGAGGCTTAGATAAAAGAGGGTGGGAGGGACCAAAGCAATTCAATAGAGAGAAGCTCAAAGTAATGTCTTTACCACAGTGTTTGGGGCTGAAAGGTGAGCTGGCTGGATCCCTGAACTAATTACCTAGATAAATGTCTGCTAAAAACTAACCCCTCCGACCCAGACCCATGGTCTGGCAAAGGCTGCGGGGAGACTTAACTCTCGCAAAGTGCTAACATGCACTCTGAAAATCTGAGCCCCGGTAGCAGCTGCTTGCTCACACGTGGGAAGAGTGTTTAAATACACCTGTCTCTCTTCTAGATTCTTTTAGCCCGGAGGTCTCCTCCTCCAGACTCTGAGCAGATGCGTCCAGAACAGGGCTATATCTTACTCTGCTTTACATCTGCCCGAGTGCCTGGCAAAATGTGGCAGAGTCTGCATCGGCTGACAATTTTTAAGTGAAAATCTCTCTCCTACCACCTTCCAAGCCCTGCTGCTGTAGTTAGCACTGGGCATGCAAAACATTTGGCCATTCCAAGACAGCTTTCTAATGTCTTTTTTTTTTTTTTTTAAATGATGTCAAGTGGTATTGTGAACGTAAAAGTAAACCACATTTGTTAGGAACAATCCAACTTCTGTTAGAAACAATAACATTTCTACGGCTAGATGTTTCAGACTATCAAGCTTTGAGGCCTCTGCATCTATGTGTTCGAAATCACTACTGTAATTTCCGCTTGAGCAGCTTAAATGAGGCCTATAATCTGAATGGGTTTTGAAAAGCTCTAAAAGTTTCTCCAGATTTGGACAGGGCTAGTAATTAGCACCCCCGCTTATCTGAAAATTGGCCCCATTCAACTGGCAGACTTCGACGAAGTTACGAAACAAAATGTCTTATCGTACCTTTGATGCTGTAAAACTGATTCAAAACAAGGCAGCAAAGAGTCTGGGCTAGAAAGGGCTGGGAGAGCCACAGTCAGACAGACCCAGGGGAATCCTTGGCCCACGCAGCTGCAAGATACCTGGCAGCTCTCTACTTAAAGGCCACCCTACCCAAACAGACTGCTTCCTTTTACCCTCATTCCCATGAACCCAGGTTTCTGTAACTGTCCCTGACTTCGTCCAGCCCTGACGCTGCTTCCACTGTTGTTCTTGATCTAAGCAAACAGCTCCAGCCTCATGAGAGTCACTGGCAGCAAGGGCTACCATCTTGGTTTTTTCGCCTTCGTGGTTCCCTCACTGGCTCCCAGAAACACAAAAGTGACTTTGCAGGTATTACTGAAGGTCTTGAAATTTTTTCCCCCCTCATGTTGTGATTTTCTTTCATGCACTACTACTTACTGTCTGTTCCTCATGGCTCATGGGTGGAATATGGCCATTCTGTATTGGTCACTATGAGCCACTTTATACATATTTTAAGAATTAAGAGATTAAACCTGGGGGGTATTGACTAAATATCCTTTTGATCGATCCTTCAGAATTTAGAATTCCATACTATCCAGGTCCAAATCTAACAAATCAAGGCATCATTTAAGAGACCATTTACAAAAGAATGAAACTGAGGTTGCTTTGCATTAAATTACTTATTAAAAGTCATGCATTCCAAACACAGAAGATAAGTAGAATCAAACCTGAGAGGAGGACAAAACAACCTTTAAAGGACCTTTAAAGGACCTATGTTCCTCCCTTTCACCTGCCCTTCTTTCATCTAGAGGACTATGTTGTCCAGAGAGGGGAGGTGATTTGTCTAAGGCCAAGAAGCTCTATCTACCACCTGCCGGTCCCCATTATGTCCATGTGCCTCCCCTCTCAGAAGAGTGATTTTTAAACACAGAATACTTGTACCCAACAACTTACTTAAAATCCACGCTGGCTCTCTGAACCATTGCACTTAACTTTCTGATGCCACACAGTAATACCCAACGCAATCCCCCCTCCTATGCCACAGTCTCACTCTCTCTCTCTCTCTCTCTCACACACACACACACACACACACACACGCACACACACACACACGCACGCACGCACGCACGCAGTCTCTTGATTATCTGGTTGATGCCTATCATACCCAAAATGTAAACATATAATTTTTTAAAAAATGAACATTTTATAGCCTTCTTTAAAATGAACTAAGAATAGTCCCAAATTCTTGCCTTTCCATTCATGAATCCTTCCACCCAAGATTAACACTCACAGAAACCTCAGCAGAGGGCAAGAAAGTGGTCCAGTTACGCTCTGCAAGGGTCCCACCGGACGCCAACCACTGCAGGTGACAGTTCTACAAAGCCTATTTGTCACCATGGATGCCTCTTCCCAGAGTTTCTATTTTGAAACATTTTTAATCTACCACACACCATTCAAGTAGAATTCATTCTTCAAATATTTATTTGCCAAATAAATATTTAATTGTGAATCGGAGCTTCTTTTGATCAACATGAGAACCAGTGTTACCACATTGACTGATATACTCTAATTCTAGCCAAGAAATGCAATGTTTTATTTCACCTTACAGCTGGTAAAATTTAAGTATCTGCCAGGATTTTTCAAAAACTGTAAATATCGGGCAGACTTCTATTACAAACTTCCCAAGGACTGGGATTTTCCAGACTGTATGTACGTTTTCCTTTGTTTTAAAATTTTGTTAAGAAATAAAGTCATCCTATTTACGTCTCCTACGGAATTCAAAATAGGAGTTATACAGCCCATGGGGGATATTATAAACCTAAGCAAATCAAGATTTGAAAATACACACTTTTCAAAACAAATTCTAAAACCATAATGATTTTCTATACCTTATGTGTTGCACACACTTATGGGGATAGAGCCAAGTAAAACGACAAAGGGAGAAGGATGTCTGACAAGTCTCAAAGAAAAGATCCTTCTAGAATGCTCAATACTAGCGACAGAAAGAAGGTCTAAAAGTTATCACTTAGCATGACTTTCTCTCCATTTATATGTAGAAACTACACAAAATGATAAGAGGAACTGCAAGAACAGAGAAAACAAACTCCACAACAAGAAGGGACTGCTCCTTCTTTAAGAAAATCTGGAATTCTATGAGAACACCAAATCTCAGAAGGCATCTTCACTGGCAACAAATTGTTCGGTATTCCTAATATATGCTTCCTAAGTAACAGTCACAGCAACTTGCACTAACAGTGATGACAGAGTAAAATGGCTCTGACAGTTAGCAAAAGAGCCAGTCTAAAGGAAAAAGAAGTGGCAGACCTTCCAATATTACAACCTGTGTGTACTCCTGTAGTCACACCTAGAACACAATTTCATAGCTGTGGGAACCATGTGTAAACACATACCAGGACCTTTCCCTGCTGTAGCTCAAGGGATGCAAGTCAACTAGATAACTGGCAGAGTGCTAGAGCCTCGTACACAGAAGAGGCCAATGTGTTCTTTTAACACAAAACAAAAATAAACATCCCGATGCAATGATGAAAACATACCTTCACATAAGCATTTACAATGTAAGTAAATGAATCTATTAAACCTAAAAGACCACCCAGTAGAGTCAAAAGAAAAACGGCAAGATTTAGACTTTGTATTATCTTTATCCTGACCATTTTGGACAGTG